GTGCCAATGGGGAGGCGCGCACGCCTGGAGGACGTAACCGTCGCTCAGATCGCCTCAGTCAAAAGGCAAACTCTGTTGTTGCAGATTCAGTTGTCACCAATGCCACAGCTTCCGCCGCAGCGAAACGTACTACAACAACTTTAACCAAGGTCGCCAGTCGCAGATCAAATGCCTATGGCGCGAGCGGTCGTACTGGTGCCCCAGATAAGCTCCCGGCCGCTCCTGCCACAGGATTCGCCCAGGCTATGGAGAACCAGATGGAGAAGTACGCCGACGATGAGGAAGAGGAGGACCATCAAAGCGAACAACAAAACCACGAGGAAGAAGGTGTCGAGGAACTTGGAAGTGAGCGCCAATCGCGCTTCATCAGGCAAAACCGCAACAGTGACAAGTTCTCACCCGACAATGTGCGCAACCCCGGATCAAAGTCAAAGGTCACTCCTGGCTACTCCTTCATCGACAGTGATGACTTCGACCACAGCGATGATGATCTTGCGGCGTCTGTCGGCAATACCACCAAGTCGTTCGGTCTTGCCCACGAGGCTGGTATGTTAGTGTCCCAGGATCCATTCATGGGCTCGCCTTTGGCAAAGCCTGCAGCATCGACCCGCAAACCTGACCTTACAACATCTACCAACACCACAAAGTCGAACGGCATTACCCACGAGGCTGCTACTTCAGGCGCACAAGATCCGTTCGTCAGGCCAGCAGTACCGAGTCGCAGGCCCGCCAGTCGTACTGTGAATGGAGCAAGGACCCAAGGACCCACCCCCGTGTTATCTCAAGGTTCTATTCGTAACAGGGTCTCAGTCCAACCTCAGGTTCCTACTCCTGCCGAAAATGCTATCAAGGCACCCATCCAAGGACAGTCCCATATCAGGGCAAACGTACAGCGGCCTACTGTTCGCGCTCCGTCAGCTGAAAATGAAGGATCTGTAAGAGATTTAATAGTCGAGGAGCAGACTAGACTTCAACAACAAGGCCCACCATCGCAGTCACAGCGTCAGTCAGAGCGACGCCGCCCGCACCAAAAGGACAGGGTCGAGCTCAACGCATGGCTTGGCGATGTTGAACCAGATGAGGTTGACGAGCCGGTATGGGAATGGAAAAAGCTTATGATTTGGGCGTTTGGTGGATTGGCCGGGTTACTGCTGTTGAGCTACCTTATCTCCTCCGCCATGGTGGCCACGCCGTTCCCCGAATCAGCCGTGCGTACGCCTGGATTGGTGAAGGCTGTGGGCGCTCGAGTCAGTCACACATATGAGAAGATTACCGAGTTCATCCTCCCTCCCACCGAGCACAAACTCACAGAGGCTGAACTGGCTCAAGCGTATAAGAACAACGGCGACGATAACCTCTTATGGGGCCGCATGTCCAACATCGACAAGCGACACACGCAGCGCTTGGAGGATGTTCGTGCAGATATGCGCACGACAATCGAGGAGCTCAAGCAGGAGCTTCCTGAAGTCATGATCGTTCGCCGTAATGAGGATGGCACTTCTGAAATCACGGATGACTTCTGGATGGCACTGACTGGCAAGACACGTTCAAGCATGGGCGACAAAGAGTGGGCGCGCTACATTGAACAGACCAAGACCAAGCTCGGCGAGCTCTTCGACACCACGGCCCAGCAAGAACGCAGCCACACTGAGAGCTGGCCACAGGCCGTCTCTCGTGATGAGTTCGTCACTTTCATGGAGCGCCGTTACGAAAACTTGACCGCTCAAGTCGACAAGAAGATCGACGAAGCTATCCGAGCCCAGAGCGCTCAGTTCAAGACGATGGTACAAGCAGAGGCTCGAAAGACCATGATGGATCAAATCCGACTCAACTCTCTTGCGCAAGCCAACCTCGTCGCAAACTACGAGCTCCACCTCACCAAACCCAACTACTTCTCTCCTGGTCTAGGCGCAGTAGTCGATCCTGACATGTCTTCCGTCACATACAACCACCGAGCTGGTCGACTCCATGGGCTCATACGCCGCTGGGCCTTCGTCCCTTATCGCAACCCACCCATGGCAGCGCTGACAAAGTGGGAAGAGCCAGGCGACTGCTGGTGCTCTGCCGGCCAAGCGCCCGTTTCAAGCGGCCAGGCCCAACTCACTGTCAAACTCCCACGTCCCGTCACCCCCAAGCAGGTCACAATCGAGCACGTCCCCATGAGCATGATGCCAGCGCGCAACATCTCCAACGCGCCCCGCGACATCGAGCTGTGGGTCCAGACAGACGCGCCCATTAACCCCTACTACTCCCACCGCCAGGTAACCTGCCGCGATCCGCCACCACCCAGCTTCGACGGTCCCGCCTGGAAGTGCCTGGGATCCTTTAAATACAACATCCACGCATCCAACCACCTCCAGACGTTCGATCTCGCTGGCGAGCCGTCCGAACCCGTTTCGAAAGCCATGGTACGCGTGACTAGCAATTGGGGTGCCAGTCACACGTGCTTGTACCAGGTCAGGCTACACGGGACGGATGCAGAGAAGGACTACGAGTACCCTGTGAGCCTAATGGATTAGGCTCTCGTAATAGCTGGGATGATGTCGTAATGTAGCATGACGGCGTTTTATATTGTTTTCTGCAGGATACCTTCGGGTTTTTACGATTGTGTTTGTATACCCAGGATAGTTACAGAGCATTAGGAATTGAAATTTAACTTGACGATAATGAAGTTCCATGACTACTGTGACTTTTCGAGTGACATTTTTGTATGTGTTACTTCATCGAGGGTAAATTGGATGGACTGAGCAGGCTTTGGGGTTACGATTTTCATGTATTGAATCGCGACCGGCTCACTTTTGTGGCATGCTATCTACTTTGAACACTCAATGTATCCGCCAGGCCTTAGTATATGTAGCACCAACAATTCTTGCTAGACTGTCGTATACCACCAGGCCCATCTATCGCACAACACCTCCCTTGAGAGTGGGAATGCTACACAGACCGTCCTTGGTCCTCAGCTTAGCTACACCCGTCTTCTTATCCGCGCCCTCGCCGCTCAATTGTGGTACGACGCCAACATCGAAGCCGACCTCTAGGCCATCTGTTGTAGTGAAGCCTGGCTGGATCATCTCCCAGACCTTCTTCTTGGGGTTGAGCACCGGCTCAGGCTCGCCTTCCCAGCCCTCGAAGTAGACGCGGTCGCCGGCCTTGCTCTCCTTGGGGGGATCTACCAGCTCGACTGGTCCCTTGTGGCTGTCCTCACCCTCGGTAACGCGTGGTGATGCAGCGAGTACCATCGCACAGCTCTTGACACCGCGCATAGTGACGGGCTTCAGGTTGCACACTGCGACGATCTTGCGGTTCTGCATCTCCGAGAGGGGGATCAGGCCGTTGAGACCCGAGCATACGGTGCGCACGACCTGACCTTCGTACTCTGAGGTGTTGTCTGTGCCGGGAGCGTCGCCGCATGCGATTGTTGATACGTAGAGCGAGTCGGCGTTGGGGTGGGTCTCGGCCTTGAGGATGTGGCCTACGCGAAGGTCGATGAGGGCGGGAGAGAGGGGCTTCTCGACTGGCGCACTGCGTGTTGTTAGATGGTGTGTAGACGCAGGATACATACACGACTTACGCTTTCTGGGGCTTGGGCTGCTTCTCCTTCTTTTCCTTCTTCTTCTTCTCGGTCGGCGCGCCTTCTGGGACACCACCTGCTGAGCCGCCCGCTGCGTTGCCGACGACTGCAGATGCTACGGCGGAGCCAGCAGCCTCTGCCTTGCCCTTTGCCTTCTCCGCCTTGGTCTTTCCTCCCTGGCCCCCTTGTGCGGCTTGTCCTTGGTCGCCAGTCAGAGTAGTAGCTGTAGCACCAGACGCGGCGGCACTGGCAGCAGCAGCCTCCTTCTCCTTCTTCTTGCGCTCCTTCTCGGCCTTTGCGTCTACTGGCTTGATCTTGAAGATAACGTTGTCCTGGTCGATGTTGACCTTGTCGTCCAGCTTCAGGCCGAAGACAGGCGAGTTCTGGACAAAGTCGACATGGCGGACGATGTGATGGTATCCCTGCTCTCCAGTTCTCTCCTCAGCACTCCATTTCGACACTACTGGTGCGAGCTTCTGGTAGAGGGCGATGTCTGCGACGGAGGGCTTTGCGCCGAGGACGGTGGTTCGGCTCGAGAGATGTGTGTTGAGTGATGACAGGCGCTCGGAGGCTTTGGCGGCATCCTCAGAGGAGGAGGCGATGTGGGAGGCAGTGATCAGCCATTGACTGAGTTCCGTCTTCTCGGCGTCGGTGTAGGTGACTTCGGGGTAGAGGGCCTGCGAGGCTTTGACAGCGTCCGTCTCGTCGGCGGCGTTGTTGGGCGCGTGTGTCTTGAGGAAGGTGACCAGGGTCTCGTCGATTGTGGTCATGGTGGGCAGTGGTGCAAAGGTTCGCTGGAAAAAGTTGAGGGCAAGTGGCTGTAGTGGGGTAAAGAAATCCGCCGTAAAGCTACTGGGCGCAGTGGCTATGGATCTGCGGGGATGTGTAGGCGGTATCAGAGATGCTCCGGGCTGCCAGTATCTAGTCCGTGGTAATTGGGGTCGTCCGATGTGTAATATGCGAGAAAAGGGCGTAGCGGAGGGACAACGGCGGAGATGCATGATTCACGTGAGTCAAATTCAGGTCCTTCGTCACCGCGCGGGGCTCAGAAGCTTCCGCCATGTCGCCGCACAGGCCATCGCGTTTTCCAAGTCGCGTGTCCATCGCATGCATCGCGTCGAGTGCACCTCAAGATGATGCTGTTATGCTGAGGGTTGAGATGCCTCGTGTTATGGACTACTCTCCACGAGCAGATGGTGCCTGATCGTTTCTCCTTCATGACGCGCGCAGTCCTTCGAGGCCTCAACATGCAAAAGGCAGAGCGAAACCCCTCAATGTTCTAAGCAGACGATGCTGTAGCCTATGGTATGCCTGTGGAAGGCAAAGAGAGTTTGGATGACGAGTCGTTTGCTGCCTGCGCCCCACGTCTACCTAGGTATAACATGTCGAGCTCTCCTTCCCCGCAACACCATTTCTACACAGCATCACCATGGCGTCCGAGTCGTCACCAGATGTGCCCAAGGGCAGGAAGAGGTTCATTCCTCTGGGTACGACATTTCCATATACACTGCATACATGCCAGCTAACGCGCGACAGAAAACAATCCCGATGTCATGTCCGCTCTCGTCCACAAGCTCGGTCTGTCGGAGAAGCTTGCATTCCACGATGTCTTTAGCATAGACGAGCCCGAGCTACTTGCTTTCGTACCTCGACCTGCTCATGCCCTCCTCCTCGTCTTCCCTGTCAGCAAGACATACGAGACATTTCGCATGCAGGAAGACAAGGACAAGCCGGAATACCAGGGACATGGCCCAGAGGAGGAGGTCATCTGGTATAAGCAGACTATTGGAAATGCTTGTGGTCTAATCGGATTACTTCACGGTGTCTCCAACGGTTCCGCCCGTGCACACATCAGTCAGTCGCCTCCGGGTTCCGAGACAGCCATCAGACATGCTGACAACAGCCTTAGAACCCGACTCGAATCTGGCCAAGCTAGTCAACGACGCGATACCCCTCAAACCTGTCGAACGAGCCGACCTCCTCTACGAATCTGAAGCTCTCGAGAGCGCACATCAAAGCGCTGCGTCGGGTGGTGATACTGCTGCGCCTGAGGCCGATTCCGACGTCGACCTACATTACGTTTGCTTTATCAAGTCGGACAAGAACCATCTGTGGGAGCTTGACGGTCGGCGGAAAGGTCCCCTTGACCGCGGTGCGCTGGGTCCAGACGAGGATGTCCTGAGCGAAAAGGCTCTTGACCTGGGCGTACGTAGCTTCCTCAAGCGCGAGGCTGAGGCCGGCGGAGGCGAGCTGCGTTTCAGTCTGATTACACTTGCCGAGTCGTTCTAGGAGGATAACGAGAGGAGGGAGTCCCGGCAATTCGCTGAAATGTCTTGCGATGAATTCTAAGGTACAACGCTGCGTGGACTGGAGCGCGATGTATACACTGGTCTATAGTACTGGAAGAAGTATATTACTCTCCTCAAAAGCCATCCACCTTGACTTCTCGTCCCTCCTTGAGTGGCAGATACACCTTCTCCCATAGATCACTCCTCTCACCAAGATGATAAGTCAAACTAACATCTTGCATACCTGGAGGTGAGGAGGTCGAAGCAGAAGCCATGGTTTCGAGTTGCGAGATGATGTTCTCTAGACCCAGAGCCTTTCCGGTGGCTTGCGTACTGCCAGCTTCTAGCGAGACGTGGACGATATGGATGTGAAAATGATAGTACGTTGGTTGATCTATACATCCGTTAGCAAGTTCCTCCAGGCCTCTTCTCACCATCAACTCACAGTGCACGTAAAGCTTCAACTCATCCCTCTCGAGCTCAGGATACAGCTTAACAGTCGCCTCCAGCATCTTCTCCCGCATATGCTTCACCCATTCCGTCATGTTCTTCTTCAAGTCCCTCACACTCCAGATATCCCTTCGCTCCACGATGCCGAGCAAGTGCAGACTACCCATCGTCTTACGGTCCCAGTTGAGATCAGGCAAAAGCAAGAAGCCCTCCTCGCCCGACTCACGGTAGATGACATCCTCTTGTTCAGTCCGGCCCTCAATGATGTTGAATACCCAATTCAACGCGCCCTTTTCACGCTGTGCCTGCATGTACGGCCTCACATACTTTTCGTAAATCTCTGGGATCTCGGTGACGACCCTCAAGCGCTGCTGCTCATACTTCTTGATGTGCTTCTCCGTGCAAGGATAGATTAGGTTCAGTTTGAAGTCTGGAGGCGGGTTATCGTCACTGGGGTTGGAGTTTGCGAGGAACCACGCGTAGATGTCATTTGCACCGAGGTTCTTGATGTTACGGAGCGAGGTGGAGAAGCTGTTTAGAATTTCAGGGTTCGTATCGAAGGCAGCGCGCTCAGCGAGCAGGAGAGCGGGTTTGGAGTCTATGGTGCCCAGAAGGGAGATGCGACGGCCAGCTTGGTCGGAATTTAAGAGGCGGGTCAGATGGAATTTGGGGATTAGAGCCTCCGCGCGGGCGGCGACATCTGGGGGTGTCGTGGAAGTCATTGTTGAGTATAGGTTGTGAAGTACAATTCCAGCACTAAGATCATAGTCAGTATGAGAGAACACCTAAGAAACATGGCACGTTCTATGTATGAGTCAAGAGTCCTCGTCGCGGACTTTCATGTCTACTCAGGTATACGCGTTCGTTCTAACAGGATTTACGATCTTGTAAAGTCTAGAAATTCTGAACTTACCAAAAAAAACGTAGTATAGTCCTGAGAACACATGCAAAGTATCCCGCGGTTTCGGCACGATGTGGGGGTGGAGAATGATGCGAGGTCACATGTCTGCGCGATCTCGCGTATCACTGCAGCAACCAGGGAAGGCGCCCCGATCGACGCCAAGCAAATCGAATGAGGTCACTCAACCCAACCACCCCATCATAGCACGCAACCATCACGAAGTCAAATACCTAAGAATCACCAGATATCGATCGCAAATACATCAATATGGCACCCAAACGCAAAGCATCGGGCCCAGCGGCCAAATCGCAACAGTCGACTCTCGCATTCCACGGAACGACAAATAGGGTCACAAAGTCCGGCGTAAAAGCACAAGGCGCAAAGAAGAACCTCCTCGAAGCGAAGCTGAAAGACGTCAAGCCGGAGACAATCGATATCTCAGATACTGAGCCGACAACGACGGAAGCTGCGATCATCGAGCAAACAGAACAGGAGGTCAAGGCACAGGAGGTTGAGAGTACACCAGAGGAGGACCAAGCACGGCGCATATCAGATGCAGCGATCAAGAAGTACTGGGCCGCAAAGGAGAAGCAAAGGCGCGCACCAAGGGCACATCAGGGGGCTCTAAGCTTGCACGAGAAGATCCTCAGAGAATTCGACATGAGCGCGCACTATGGCGTAAGTTTACTACCCAGCACCCTGCCTTCAGAGCTCCCCCACGTCTTGGTCCACCGCTAATACGATTTGCGCTATGTAGCCATGCACCGGAATCGCTCGGTTGAAGCGCTGGAAGCGAGCGCAACGGCTCGATCTCGACCCGCCGATCGAAGTACTCGCGGTCTTGTTGAGGGAGCAGGACGCGGGCGATAAGGACAGGATAGCTGTCCAGCGCTCCATCGTCGATGATATACTGAACTCAAAAGCCGAGCTTGATGTATGAGGATAGGTCTTGGCTTGCGGAGCGCGGATTGCGGGATGGACCCTGTCGGAGTGATACCTTTCCATTATATCTGTAACGTACGAGGATTTGGATACTGAGCTTATGCGAGGAGTTGGGCGTCATGATTGAATGGGATACGACGGTCGTGTATGTATAGCAAGAGGAGTATCGGAGGGCACGCGAGCAGTCACCACCATGTAGACCGGCTGCAGGTTAGCAACCCAACCCAAAAGATCTTACACGAATCCGCTTCACATGTCATGATAACCGATGTCTAGAGCTTCGTGACAGGATGCGCTCCAGAACGTTTTTCTCACCGTGCGTCAGCATGCATTGGGGCTTACGACTCAAATACTTGGGCAGACATAGTAGGCTCGGATCTAGTAAACGAACACAGACACCTGGTCCTGGTCTGCCTCCCTTGCAAAGCGATAAGAAGCGACAACGTAATGCGGGGTTGTGAGGTCGACTAAACAGTGTGGCCTCGTGAATCGTGTTTAGCTAGTACGTCCAAAGCGTGCAGTCTGCAGCTGGTCGTTTGACAGCCATGAGGAGGCTCCAGACTCTAGTCTCGTCGGCGGCTCCAGAGTGCCAAAAGACGCGGGGTTGATCGGCAATCGCTCGATGAAGCTCCAGACTTCAAGCTCGCGTGTTGGGTGGCAATTGCTGAGCTGCACGCCAGTGGGGCATGATGCTGGATCCGCATGCGAATGGCACACTAACTGTCAGCCCGATTCCACGCTGCCGGCGACGTCCTTGTTAGCGGGACGTGAGCTCTATAGTGGCTAGTTTAGCATGCACACTGCGTGCCCTCATATCTCCGCACGCATCCTTGCCCAGTCTGCCAGACCCACCCACTGGCATCCTTATCGCCCTTGGACAACTGCGCCGTGATGCTGCCGAATCCCAGCGGCTGTCATGGAGCAGGAACAGCTTCTGTGCATGCCCCGTGTGCGGTGTCGTCTACACGGGCCAACGATTGCAGAGCTGTCGGAGCAGGCATTGCATGGTGGCGCGCACCACGAAGCTGGGTTGGGTGAATTAAAACGGCGCCTTGTCGAATGCTGGGAAAGTCAGATAGCGGGGAACCACTAGAGACGCCCATATCCCTCGCCGTGGCTACAACCTCCATCGACGCCCCTCGCCCCTCCATGTTTTCTTCTTTCTTCTCGACTTAATTCAGTTCAATCCATTCCCCGCAATTCTTCACTTCACCTGTCCTCACATCATGTTCACCGTCGCGCTGTAGGTCGTACCTTCCTGCAAAGGGTCGCAACTTCTCGACGGCCCTCGTGCTTACCTCTTTGACCCCGGCTGTTGATCAACTCAACAACTAACGTGCGCCGTCTCCCCAAACTTTCATCGCGGTAGGTCCCACATCTCGAGGCATAAGACGCCCTTCGGTCCCGTGTACTGATCATTGCGCGACAGATCACTCCTGTCACTCCACTCTGTCGTGATACGCACGCTCCTGCTGTACATTGGTGGTCCTCTGACCCCTCCGCTGCATCTCTTTGATTGGGAAGGGACCATCACCATTAGCCAGCCTATTGCTATTGCAAGGAGCCTGCACAATTGATTCCTCGCCCACCACAGGCCCTTCACACGTTGCGCGCCTTCGACCACATTCTAATCCCCAAGCCTTGGACTTGTCAACATGGCTGCTGCTGTCGCCAGATATCCTTCTATGCCCGGTCGTTCTTCGACACCTCCACCGCACCTGTCGCTCAACACCTCTTCTCGGGGTACGCCTACTGCCATTCCCAACAAGCACATCCCGGAGTGCTCTCCTGGTGGACTCCCTGCAACTCCCCCAGCATCGCCCCCGCGCCAGGACAGTCTTATTGAAACCTCGTCAATCACATACCCACCAGATGCATACTGTTCACTCTACTCCGATGACCCGCCCGTGTACACCATCACAGCGGATCGCATGGCGGAGGCCCTAGAGCACATTGCAACGCAGCCGCTTCCGAACCCCGACCAAGTCTTTCCGTGGATGCATGGTCTTCACTCCGAGAATCAGATACAACTTGCTTTCTTCTCTTCTCGTCGCAGAAGCGGTCGGAAAGTTCCCAGATGCATTCGCAGTATTACTGTCGTCAAAACCGGCGGGAATCTGTCAGCTTCCAAGCTCAAGGGCGCAATTGCACCAGATGAGCTACTGGAATCGGTGTCTTCTGATACTCCCAGGTTCATTGAATGTGACCCCAAGGATGGCTTTTCTGTGCGCAACTTCCAGATCCAGGCCTGTAAACTGGCTATGGTGTCTGACATCATAGTATATGGCGACCACAAAACCAAGCCGCAAGACACAATTGCGCTAGCTCAGAAGATTTCCAGAGCGCAGAGGCAGTATGAAGCAAGGAACGGGTTTCCGCATTGCTTGTTCAACACGTTCATGCTCTCAGGTACGACCAGTGACTACTCTCGAGTGTGCAAAACTAACAACTTTAGATCCCTTTGCGTCCATGCAGGAGAAGTACCCGAAGCTAGTTGCTATTAATTCTACTGGCGACATGACAGGAGAGATCGCCGATTTCTGTAAGTTAGTATGCAACAGAAGATGACCCATTGCTGACATGAACATGCAGTCTATTGGGAACGATATGAGATGAGTGCGATGTCGAAAGCAACTGAGATCAGCAACAACGTTTTCTTGGGACCAACGCCTGATCAAGCACTGCATCCGGACTGCATGGGAGAAGAAGGCTACGATATGCTGATTGAAGCGACTGATCTTGCGCATGTACCCGAATCGCGCTCGCTCCGAGCCCTCCGCATGGGTCTGGAACGAGTTCACCGCAAGTCTACCCTGCACATGGAATTTCCCTCATCCGGAAGCATCATGCCTCCTACATGGGCGCATGGCGAAGTTGACGGCCTGATGGAAATGTGCAAGTGGATGTACGAGCTGGCGAACCCACAAGAGGTCCGGCGGTCGAAGCGACGACGGGAAGAAGAAGACGAAGCTATAGAGATGGACGACATTGCTGCGCCACGCAAGTTTTTGATACACTGCACCGATGGTTATACCGAGACGACACTTCTGGCTTTGGCTTACTTCATGTATGCGGAAGGCCTACCTGTTCACGATGCTTGGATTCAAATGCATCGCGACAAGGGCCGCAACTTCTTCGCATACCCTTCGGATGTTGCCCTTCTAACAGCGATCCAACCTCGGATCCTTCAAGACTCCCCTCGCTTCAACCAGAGTGTTCTTAATCTTTCCGAACCACGCTGGCTTTCGAAGCTCGACGGCAGTCTGCCCAGTCGGATCTTGCCTTACATGTACCTCGGCAACCTTGGACACGCTAACAACCCGGAGCTCCTCCGCGCTATGGGCATTAACCGCATCCTGAGTGTTGGAGAACCGCTTTCTTGGCCGGAAGACGTCAAGAAGAAGCTCGACTGGCCTGCCGAGAACTTCCTGATGGTCGACCGAGTTCAGGACAATGGCGTAGACCCGCTCTGGGGCGAGTTTGAGCGCTGCCTGAAATTCATTGGTGAGTGGCATGACTCCACGCTGAGACTCGCATAGCTGACCTTTTGTAGAAGCAGGCAAGAAAGAAGGAGGCGCTACTTTAGTGCATTGTCGTGTTGGCGTGTCGCGTTCTGCAACGATTTGTATTGCTGAAGTTATGAACGAGATGGGCCTATCCTTCCCTCGTGCCTAGTAAGTAACGAGCTGTCTTCCATTTGACTTAGACTAACCTTATTCCAGCTGCTTTGTTCGGGCACGACGACTTAATGTTATAATTCAACCACACCTTCGATTCACTTACGAACTTCTTAAGTGGGAAGAGTACCAGCGTCAACGACGTAATGAGCCTCTTCGCCGCGACCTGGAGTGGGCAACAGTTGCGCGCGAAATCGCGCTGATGAACAAGCCCTACTCCAGATAACGACTTCTATGACCTCTCCGACCTCTCTGCTCGATATGACTCACGACGATACGACTCGTACATGTACGATTACAGGCCCTCCCACCTCTGAGCTGCCTATTCTGTTCAGGATGATCCATCATCCCTTGTGTGCGATATGGGCGTTTGCAATTCCTTCGTCTTGCTCTGTCATGATCTTTCCTTCTACTTCCGATGTTTGCGTTGATTCTGTCCTGCGACCCTGCTGTTTTGCACTACGGATCTGAGCCTGGTTTCGCGTTGTCTGGTCTACTTTTGCGAAACTGTGGTCGCAGGATTTTGCTGTACTGGATGTCTGTCATTCTGGGTCTGCGGTCTGGATGTCAATGGGTTATGGGATCAAAGGGCTGTGGGCATCTTTCATCACTGACTTTCTCCATCCATGTATTACTGTCTCGATTTACTGCAGCGCACCTAGCGCTGCAGCATCGATTGTCGAGTTGTGGGCTGATGTTCGGACGAATCATGGAGTACTGGGTCTCAAGTCACTTTATGGCGTATACACTTCTAGTCGTAACAACAGTGTCTCTTCTTTCTCTGTGTCTCGACATGCGTTGCAGTGCTGTTCCCGTTTTCCTCCCACCTTAACCAAAGCTTTCCGCTCCTCCCACCACTGCATGGCACACGTTTCACAGACAAGGACGACGAAAACCCCTGTTCGCTCTCCAAGGGTCTTCACAATAGGTACGACTGTCCAATTCATCAGATGTACATCACGAGGGAAGAATATCATGTGTGAAGCGGTTGTTGATGTCGATCCAAGTCTTATTGTCTACTCCTTGCCCCCAAGATACCTGTAGACTACTGAAAAGTCTTTGCCCTTGCAGTTTTCGGCTTTCTCGCAAGCATCGTAGAGCGCTCTTGCTGGTTCTCCCAGCGCAAGCTTGACACCAGCTTCATCAGCAGCCTTCAATGCAAGCTTGAGATCTTTGCTGGCGAGGCCTATGCCAAACCCTCCTTCGTAGCCTCTGCTTGCAGGAGCGCCCTCAATGACACCGGGAACAGGGTTGTTGACCTCACTGGGCCAGCACTTGCCGGTCGCTGTGTTGATCATACCAGCTAGCGCCTTGGGATCAAGGCCCCACTTCACACCCATGCTCATTGCTTCTGCAGTCGCAATGTTGTTGAGTGCGAGCAGATAGTTGTTTGCAAGCTTGCCCTTGAGACCAGCACCTGGTCCGCCAAGGTGGACCACTCTCCGACCCATCAATGACAGGACTTTGGTGGCACCTTCGACTGCCTCAGGTGGCGCACCGATCATGAAAGTGAGCGTACCAGCCTGTGCACCAACGACACCACCAGACATCGGCGCATCAATGAACTTTCCTTGACCAGTGGAGTGAGCAGCTTCCGCCACCTCACCCGAGGTCATGGGATCGATGGTTGAGCAATCGATGAAGAAACGTCCTTTGTTGATGGAGCTGTCTGAAAGAAGAGTAGCTGGTTCCAGCATCTCCTTGAAGACTGCCTTGACATGCTTAGGTTCTGGCAACGAAGTGACGATAGTTTCCTGCAACACTGTCAGTGGACTGCACTCGAAGTACTTGACGAGAAGGTGTGTTGTGTTTAAAGCATCAGAGGATTGGCTATAATTTTTGTGTAATCAGGAGAAGGGCCACGAATGGCCCCCAACTTAGATCATTGATAGAACAATTAATTCATCACAAGAGTGCTCGATGTAGTGGAAAAGGTATACGCACGGCTTTTTCAGCGACTTCTCGTACGTTCTCAGCAACTCGAACGCCTTGTGGATGCTCCTCGAGGAATTGCTTTGTAGCTGCGGTATTGACATCGTGCACGAAGAGTGTGTCTTCAGCCGGTATCTTCGCTCTGAGGTTCTTCGCCATGGGATAACCTGTATAGGATGTCAGTACATGATAGTCATGTGAGCTGCCATAGTACTAACCCATGCGTCCCAGTCCTATGAACCCCCATGTAGCCTGCAGGTTGTGGGAGCTTGAGAAGCATCTCCGCGCACTCTGGCGGGCCGTTGCGTGTGTTGATCTCCGCAGGGGCGAAGCTAGCGCCGAGACTGTCCGCATCTTGTGATATGGTATGAGGAAGGGTATCTGGGTAGTTGAGTTTGGCAATGTGTTGCGGAGAGCGGTTGGAATCGGTCTCCGCACTCATGGATCGCGTTCAGCCGAGGTCGCGGTCCAATGCAGCAGCACCCGTACGTGGGGCTAGCAGCATGCGTGTATGCATCGTGAATAGTGCGACCCTGGCCCCAAGGCTGCTGGAGCTGGTCTTCCGTGAGGTGTCCGTGAAGCTTGGGACTAAAGATGAAAGGGTGGGTGGGAGCTCAGAGAAAATTACAGGCTGGCGGAAAAGTAATTCCGGCCGAAGCGCGCTATGTCCAATTCGTAAATGAGCCCGTGTACTGCTCTCGGTGCTGCAGCGCACCCCAACACAAGAATACAGGTTCAAGGCTCACAACATGAGACCTTCTCTGCGAGACAAGTTCTGTCGCTTCCTACAGCTGCAGGCAGCGAATACAGTGTTTTCAGCGGATACACTCGCATCAAATTTCACTAACGTCACCTAATTGCGTTTCTTGTTCCGCTTCGCGTCGACCTCGGGAGGCTTCACTGTAGTAGGACGAAGCCGTCTTCGCACAGAGACTGAAACAATCTGCAAGCTCGCCTCCATTCAGTCTGTCTCATATCTAGCTCGAGGCCCTACGTATCTCACGTGCGGCACCATGTTTAGATAACGCCAATGGCTTGGTTCCATCTTCGGGTAACTGTTCATACTCCAATGATCACCTCTGATCATAAACTGCTCACGATGACCTACGCGAAAACTCGTGAGATGACTAGTCTCATTAGTTGTGTCATCGTCCTGAGGCTCACGCTGCTCGACAACCGCCTTCCAGGCTTCCCACTGACTGTATGCAGGCGGTATTCCTGTATCCATGGAATCGACGTCTTCAACTTTTTGTGTCGATTCCTCTATTATCAGCTCCACTCCGCAGCCTAACAGTTCTCGTAGCTGCTCTTCAGCCGCCAAAGAGAAACCGTCACGTGTGCCTCCATCATGTGAAGCGTAGATTGGCGGTGTCCGCTCACTCAAACCCGCGCCTCTGATCTCCATACGGTTCATATGTGGCCAAGGGCGATCTAGCAGGACTGGTAGAATATGTTGAGCAAACAGCCATTCCATTGGACGAAGTCTGTTTGTCCGCCATGAGTCACTGGCTCTCTGCGGTGCGGACGAAGTTCTGCGACCTTCGCACTGTTCGAAGAAGAGATGGCAAAGGGTATTGCGCACGGAGTTCAGGAACCGTGCCCAAGAGCCATACAGGTCCTCGTGCCATATATCTGGACGCCTGTATGAATTAGGCCCGGTCATCATGATGCGAAGAGATGTAAGCGCGGAGACATGAGTCGCGATTGTGTTGAGGGTCTCCGCCATCACCTGCTCATTTGAGCGCATCTGTAATCTAGTGCGATTGGCGTCGTGATATCTGCTTAGTTCTTGGAGATTTCCTGGAGCTGGCGGTACCATTTCGACCTCCACACTATCTAGAATCTGCGATTCTCGTCCGAAATTAGAAGATCTCGAGTTATGTTTGGGGGCCAGTTCGAGTTCTGCCCATAGCTTCAGATCGGTCAGCTCCAGTCTTTCGAGACGCGGACCAGGTGCGGAAGCGTTTCCGATGATGGCAATGACAAACTTATATGTCATGCGTCCGCTGAGTCGGACGGATTTGGTAGTGCAAAAGAGCTGGGCTGGGGGAGTAACCTCTCGCCAGGGTCTTAAGATATCGAATGAATCAGATTTGTGTACCCAGATGTGCATAGATTTCCCGTACCTAAGCCAGCAAAGATCGATGCTACTCACGTGCACGAAGCTGTGGAAAGTTTTCCACATGGGTTCTGGTACCATTAAAACTTGCACTGCTGCATCGATGCTACAACTTACCATCTTCCGGTGGAAAACTCTCCCGTTCCATTTCCGCACATCGTTTGTGTGCTTTATCCCAGCCTTTGCTCTCCTCGTCGTAGTCGTGGAAGCCCTTCCACATAAGATCAAGCCTTTGGTAAGGATTCATCGTGATCTCGCCGGTTGGAACCATTGCAAGGTTAGGGTTGATTCTACTCATCCGGACGAAGATAGTGTCATTGAAACGTGGGCGCGCGGGCAGCGGTCGTTCTTGATGAAGCATATTGTGGTAACTATCAAGGACCGTCCAGTGTAACTCGCGTACGTACTTTCCATAATGAGGTTTTTCAGCGATTGTCCTGTTCAAGAGTCCTTGCCTCTTAGCAACTTTCCCGTCGATTGGATGCCACTCTCGAGCGATAAATCTGGAGGGTACATCATTATAACCACCCCAGGGAGAGTAGTCCTTGAAGCGACATCGGACAGTAGCGTTATGTGTGCTTAGATCCAGGGTACGATAGAGCTCTGGTAACTAGAGCGTCGATTAAAAGTGTTCTGGAAATGAGGAGATACATGGCGCACCATTTTATTGTGGAGTAGACGACACGTCTCACTGAGGTGCTTGATGTCGGTATGAGAACACCATTGCACAATGTTATTGAGGAGTTCAGCTGCTAATGCCGCGAGATTCGCCATGGCGATCGAGTGTATCTGCGTGAGGGATACAAGATCAAGAATATACGAGCCTCTGCATCTCAGAAGTCCAGCGATTGCGGGGTGCGGCGTAAGCTTCGGTCTGCTGAAACCTGCAGCTGTGCGGCGAAGCTGAAGAGTAACGTCACGTGCAAACTCACTATTGACAACCTTGGAACCCAAGATCTGATTCTATCCCTCATCTCATCGTCGAATGACGGCGACTCCCCTTTCTTACATCTCGTTTTCTCTGTTTTCCTAAAAGCGCGCCTCCTACATACCCAGATCATGCCTCTGGCCAGAATGTTCGCAGTTCCTATCATACACCAGGAGAAACACTGATGAGGTTTCGCTGACGAAAATGAGATTAAAAGACACTGATAATGCCTTTGACGCCTGGAGTACGTCCTCGAGAGTAGAGAACGTACTGCAACAGTCACCAGAATCAACCATTTCAGCCTTCCACCCATATCGAAGACCCTAGCGGGGACAACCGGAGCTTATGCTTGAGCGCAGACGATGCGCTCGCAGCTGCTGGAGCGAAATGCGATGTCCAAAAAGTAGTAGATAGGAGAGTCCCAACCAATCTGCGTCCCACCGCTGTCGTCACGGAGACAATACTAATCATGCCTCATAGAGAGGAATCTCCGGGTGTCGGCAAGTGGAGGCTATATCCATCTCACGGTATAGACACCCATTTGATTCACCATCGCATTGCTCACAAAAAAGCAGTAGTCATGCGCTGAGCCAAGCCGGACATGTAGTGTTTGGTGTACGGAGGACCGCGGACTCACAGGAGACCGCGGGTCGCGGTGGACCCAAACGTTCGCTTCCCGCTTCCGGCTTCCAGGCCGTCTACCGAGGCAGGAACCAAGCACCGACCTCCTGCGACATGCTTGCCATACCCCTGGGTACCCACAGCTTCGATCGCATCGTGAATGCGCTTTTGTTTTTTACATGATATTTTGATGCGTTAGGAAGACTATCGGTGTTGCGAAGCTTTGCGAGCCATTTCTTCAACAAGATGTGCCACCGACAGTCCTTCCCACGTCTCGGTCAAGCCGCAAACCACCAACTCTATCAAAACCATCAGCGCGCGCATCACCACTTCAGGATATGAGTTCACCCATCGCCCAAACATACCCTGCCGTTTACCCGCCTCTGCCTTCCCAAGCCTAAGCGCCACGCCTGGTAAGGCACTTGAGGTTTCCAAACGACCATGATGCAACTCGGCACTCCTCTCCCCACTTATCTTCAAACGGCATCCAACCGCCTCACCCATGCGCTTTTCCCATGCCTTCTCTTGGCAAACAAGGCTGTCAAACATCGTTTAGGCTACGTGCAACAATGCGACAGCTTGGCCGCCCTGGTCTTACAGCTCGGGTATCCACATGGCTGTGCGCCATAGGTTGGCCTGTGGCTGCCCTAAGATTCCTCAGGCCATTTTCAACGTTTGAGATGTTATGGGCAGGAGGTGAGCTACGTAGGCAAGATTCATGGTGTGGATAGAGGAGGCAAAGGGTTGATTCGGGCGTGTGGAGGATGTGATAGTGCAGGATACAAGCGTATATGAGCTAAAGGTACTTGTAGGTGGGTTCTTGCTCAGTTGGTGTCTTTCTATCCTTCATTCTCTTCGCATCGCTCTTTTGACTACGCAAACCGTAGAACGGTCTTTACATAATCTCTACTTTCGATTCTCCAGTCCACCGTTGAACGGTAGTCTAGCTCCTATTTCTATACCCTCGATACCTTTTTGTAACTCAAGCTATTCGCTATCACACAATGAAGTCAACCATCTTCTCTGTCGCTTTGATCGCTACGGCGAGTGCGCTGCCAGGCCCAGCGTTTAGGACTGTCAACAGACTGCCTAGCATCAAATGTACGTCATACACACATGTCCCCATCTATTCTCTGCTAACCAAACACAAGCCAACCCACTTCGCCGCGCTAGCCAAATCATCCCTGTAATCGTGGGCGGTCCCCAGGATACTTTCATCCCCAACACCATCACCGCAGCAGTCGGCGACATTGTCCAATTCCAGTTCTCCAACGGCAACCACACCGTCACGCAATCGACCGCCGACACAGCATGCACTCCCATGGAAGGCGGTATCCACAGCGGTCACATCCCCTTCGAGGACGGCCAGACAGATGTCGGAACCTTCAACATGCCCATCACGAGCGCGGACCCCATGTTCCTGTACTGTGCTACTGGACCGCATTGCCAGGAGGGTCAGGTTATGATGGTCAACCCTGCCAGTACGCAACAGTTGGCCGACTATGTCAAGTTGAGCCAGCAGAGCGAATCGAGCACTGATGGAACCGACGTCGTCGGCGGAACTGCGGGCAAACTTGCTCTGGATGCTGCTGCGTAAGTCTTGATGCCTCCCAGCCTTTTGGTCATGCTTCCGATCATACAAATACTAACTCTCTTACAGCTTCGTACCTGCACCTCCAGAGGATCCCGCTGCTGCCCCTCCCGCCCCTCCCGCTGAAGCCCCTGCAGAGGAGGCGCCAGCTGAGGCACCACCCGCTGAAGAGGCTCCTGCTGAGGCACCACCCGCTGAAGAAGCGCCCGCAACAACATCTGCGGCAGAAGCCCCAGCAGAGACGACAGCCGCTGCCGAAGCACCCGCCGAGGCACCCCCTGCTGAGATGCCTATGACTACCGCGGAAGCAGCTCCCGCCGAGACTCCCGCTGCTGCTGCTGCCATGGCTCATGCTTGAAGTGAACGAAGGGCTAGGGGAGGAGGAAGTTTTCAATGTAGATTTTGCGAGAAACATATGAAGTATTCGAATGTGTACACCCAAACCAAGTAGCAGGGCTTTTCGATCATGATGCGGTTTATCTTCTTCGTTGGTGCAATGAATTGATGTGTATGAAGTCTTGTGCCGTACTGTTAAAAATTTCAATCTACCTAACTGCGAGGTACCCATGTGGACCATCTCGACGAGTAAGCGATGCGAGCCTCTGACACCAATGAGACCACGAAGCAGCGAAGGGGAAATTATGCTCTGTATGATGTCATGTAATTCTCTTCATTACCCCTCACACCATCTTTGCTGCAATGCGATAACAATGCTAAAATCACATACCAATAACCCCTCTCATCTGGTGCCATAGTGATACAGAAGATGCTAGCCCTCCTTCTCAGCGACCTTCTCCTTCTCCTCTTCACCCTCCTCACTACCATCCACAGTGTCGCCACTACTGCTACCTCCCTTCTTCCTCTCAGCGACGTCCATTTCTCTGCCATCGATCACCGGCTCAGCCTTCGCCGCTCGCTCATCCTTACTCGGTCGCGGTCTCGCAGGCTTTCCAGCTTCTTCTGGGAACAGCTCAGCGAAGAGGTTGGGTTGGAAGCGGTTGATGCGCTTCCACGTCTCGTGCCAAAGTTCCTCTCGCTTGGGGTTTTCGTCGGGCGGTGCAAGGTATCCACCATTGCTGAGCACCAAAAGCATGTTTTTGAGGTTCTCGGCAACGGCTTCGTCCATGTCACCCTGTCCGCTATTGCCCAAGCGATCCATGAGGCCAACTATTGTAATCCACAAGTCTTCGAAAGACAGGCTCTTTTCCCCTTCTTCATTCTCTTCGCCTGAGAGGCCGTCAAGTAGCACTAGGTAGTGCAGGAAGACCTTGCTCAGAAGTGTGGCGGCCCTGATCCTAGTCTCGCTCATGCCCAATGGATCAGATTGGTAGACTTCTGGTTTGAGCAGCTGGGTGATGAGAGGTATGAGGACTTCGCTGAAGATCGCGGTCCATTCTCGGTGCTCGGGGGAGGCGAGGTCGTTGGAAAGAAGGGTTCGTTGGAGTGAAGAGAAGGCTTGCTGACGTAGAGAGCGGCAAGGGTTGAGACATTGATGCGCGAGAGTTTTGAGGATTGGAGACCAGTATGCGGTCCATGCTGAAAATGTGTTAGTGCCTCGATGTTTAGTGAGGAGAGAAATGTTCCTACCTTCAGTTGTCTCAAGGTGAGACTGCTCGATAAAGTTTGGCACCCTGCTGGAAAGTTGGAAGACGATGCTCATAGCAGTGCTGCCGCGTACGACAACTTCGTTGCTCTCAAGCTTCTTAGGCTTCTGGCCCTTGTTGCGTCGTGCAGCCTGATCATGCAACTGCTCTTCTCGAGCTCCAACTTGAGCTGCAGTTGCGAACTCATTGAGAAGCGCAATCGCAGCCTCGTAGTTATCAGCAGTAATGCCAGGTTGAGGCGAAGTGGTAAGGTCTTCAACGAGCTGGAATACATCCCCAGCAGCATCGGGCACTCCTGAAAGTCTGCTGAGAATGGTCCAGAAGTCTGGTGATCCTGCAAGTTCGCTGCGAAGAGCGTTCGGACCCTTGCAGCAGTCTGTCAGACCCTTCAGAATCGGTTGTGCGCACTCGTATAGCAGAGCATCATTGAAGCTGGAGAACGTGTGCATAAGGACTGGCGCACGGATGAAGTCATAGTCCTGGATCGATTAGTACTGTATTTTCTTGAGAGTGCATCGAGACTTACA